CGGGGCACTCGTAGCTTGTTTTCGTTGACCTCCTCTTTCTTTGCTCACCGCCCTCACCAATCACTTTTGCTACCCGTAAAGAGTGGACCGGTCCCTCGTCTTTGGTTTAAGCGGGACGCTGGATCTGCTGGCTTGAAGTTCAGCAGAAAAGAAGATCGTGAGCCGGGCTCATTCCGAAAACCATGGCGCCAGGCCCGGCCACTCGAGGCTGGCGGCTACCCCTACGCACTTCGCAGTTCGTGGTGACATTGGGTGTCATCTGTCGGCAGAGTGGCTGTTCGTACGTACATGGAGTGCCAAGTGGTGCTGCATCTCAAGACCGCGACCCAAGGACCCTCGTCCTGCGTAAATTGGGGATGGTCTCTCCACTCCATGCAGCGCTGCGACTTTAACACGTAAAATGCATGTGCATATCTGGCGGTACGTACCGGTCCCAGGATAAAGTGGGTCCAGGACGACACTGGTGGACGGAGCGACACTGGACACCGCCCAACTATACCTTAGGTAGAGCAGTGCAGTGCAGTCAGTCCAAGCTTCTTCTGTAGCAAGACCCAACCAAGCAGGTGCACCGCCAGCTCCCAACACCACCACCGCCCAACAGCTATCTAGGTACCAACCTACAGATACCATTATGGTATGCACATGCAGCTCAAGCATCAAGCATCAAGCCCAAGCACGAGCACGAGCACAGGCACAGAGAGCAAAGCACAAGCAGCGGAACCGACAGCTGCACCTCATTCCTGACATCACGCCAGCCAATTTGCGGCCCATTTTGCTTTTTACCTCCCGCTGCATCTGCGACTGCACTTGCACCTGCCATTGCCGTCTTGTGTCACCTCAGCCCGCCACGGTGCACCCCAATCACTCTCAACTCGGGTCGTGATATCTCTTGTCGGAGGCATCCTGCTCTATCCGCGGATAGGAAGAACCACCAGTTCGTTCTCGCTTCAGTAGAGCTATGCCGTTGTGTAAGTGGCCCCCACGCAGTACACCCTCTCTCTCAAGCCGTTTTGATGTCTCTTTTAAAACATCCAAAGTCAAAACCACTCACCCACCTTCATACTTTTCTCTCCCTCCCCGTCTAACCCCGAATGCACAGAGCAGTTCGGGGTCCTACAGATGGACATCAACGCAAGTTTGTCCAGCAAGCTTATTTCTTCCCCATCTACCTGTCCAAACTCAAGCCATTTCCTTTTTCTCACGTAAACATCCGACGGCTCCCGCCACAATGCGTATCCTGGCCTCCCCATCTCGGAGCAAAATCGTAAGTTTGACCACCACCGCCGCCGGCCTTCTTCCGCCTCGCATGGCCTGCAGCGGCCGTGTATCGAGATGGCAGGAGCGCCGGATCCAGACCGTTCTCTTTGCCAATTGTCCCGAGTGTTACTTTCAAAGCGGCTGCAAATCCTGGCCCGCTGGGTCCCACGCCTCTTGCCCTGCACCGATGCTGGAACGGTGCATCGGCTTAAGGTGACCTACCTTACCCGGGCGTATCCGCACCTCCATAAGCCACGGGGCCCACGACCCTTAAGATTGGCCAGGTAGCGATACTTGAACCTCCCTATTCATTCACTTGACCGTGAGAACTATCTGGGCTGTTTCAGTCAACACCTGCCGAAGAATAAGAAAGCCGGGTTTCCTCGACGTTGGCTAAGCATCATGTTGCCAGCAGTGTTTACTCACACAGGCAGCGTCAGGACAACTTGCTACGCCCGAGGCGCCTGTGCGTTGGGTTCATCCAGCAAATACTTCAGCAACCCTTTCTTTGTCTCTGGCTCGAGCGGCCTTGACACAAAATGCCAAAATTGACACGCCATCCCAATTGCTGGTTGTAGCATGTCGTGTCAGCTAGAGACACGTCCCCTATGCAACTTTCCTTCTGCCGCCTGCCGCCGCAATTACTCGTCGCCGTTGGTGACAGAAAACGTGGGAAATCGAGACAGCAAAGGACAAGGCAAGCCAGAGATTTGGGGACGGAGGGCGCCACGCTGCAGACGATCCCCTCGCAAGTCATTTGGACGACACGCACTTGAGGCAGGTCCCGGGAGCAGGGAATTAGCCAGACGGGGGACCGGTCAACGGATACCCGCAGACTTCTTCAATGCTTCCATCCAGCCATGACTCCGGCACCTGGCATAATGGCTTCGGCTTGCTGTCTCGCATCGTCTTGCCCTATTACTCCAGCCCGATGTTCCATCGCAGGGAGGGCAATCCAATCTACCGTCTTGGGGGAAGCTAAGCAGTCTACATGCCTTTTTTCCGCCCATCGTCATTCCCAGAATCCCAGTACCGCTGCGTCCCAGGGTCCAACGTGATCGAATACCGGGATCTCCGACATAAAAGGATGGTCCACGGCTCGTGCGCAACGGATTGGCGTTGACGACGGGGAACAGCTCCTAAGGGGCTATTGGTCTATTTCCTCCCACCGTCACTGAGGTGTTAGTGTTAACTCATGATTGTCCCGCTCCCTTCAGACAGCATCTATATCCCCCTGCAGTTATTTCTCATCGTTGTGCAATGTCAAGCCGTTCAAGTCGCTCTCTAGCCGCTGTCGAGGCTGAAACATGAAGCTTTGCCGGAAGAGTCACGCTGAATGAATACGAAAGTCATGGCATTACAACTAGCCAGCCAAACAAACGACCCAACGGCTTCCCGTGAAGGCTGCGGCTCGGAGTGGAAAAGGAAGGGGACTTGACAGTTCCGGCCGCCTTTGTTCCGATTGTTTGCCGGCCCCGCCTCGAACTTCGCCTCATCTTTGTGCACCAGATTGCCGTTGTCTTGCACCCATTCGGTTTGTTTGTTCATCCCTGCCATTGCCCCGGAACGACCGCCCTGCCGTTGGGCTTGCCCAACGACATCTCGTAATACCTACCTAAGTAGTGTAAGTTGCAGCTCCGTGGACAATCAATCGCGTGTGTCCTGCGGCCAATTGACAGGCAGGTGCTCTTGCCAGCCCCGGGGACAGCTGAAAGTACAGGTACCTTCATCGACAGCTCGCACACCCGGATTAGCAACTAGGTGCTTGTTGAGTGCCAAGTACCACTACGACTGCCACAGACTCGGGTTTTGGGGTCGCTAGCTCAGGGCACCCCCCTGCACCGTCCCTCCTTTGCAGATCATCGCTCAAGCCACGCAAATTCCTTACTACATACAGCTGCCTCAACTTCATGCGTCGCCTCGCGCAGCCACCTTACTCTGAATACCTTATCACCGTCGCCTAGAGTCAGACCGCTCCATTTCCCGTCTTTGACGACATCTTACCCCTACGAGTACGTGTCACTCTCATTCAAGTGCATCTTTTTTTTTTTCCTTTTTTCCCGCGGGACACTACAGCACCCCACCGTTGCCGTCTCGGCCCTTCTGCCACAATATCACCAACTACATCCGCCCCGGCCCAGCTTCCGGGCCCCCCCGTCTGCCGCCGTGCCGCATTACACACCATGGAGACGGACCATATCGATCAGCTGCTGGAGCGCTTTCTCATCCTGCTGGATGAGTATACCGTTCTGCGAGAGCTCCTCAGCAAGACTCAGGCTGGCATGTATCAGAACATCGCACGAGCCAACTTCTCCGCAGAGAGGGGCGTCAGATACGGCCCGGACTACTATGACGAGCGCATGCAGGCTTCGAGAATCCTCTCCATCTCTGCCGACAGCAAGGGTGTCCCTCGCTACGAACTTGTCAAGCCTGCAGAAGATGTAACGAACCCAGGGACCCAAGAGGCTCCAGTCGGCGAGCGGAAACCCGACGGCCAAGATGAGGCTCCGGCTGACGAGGTCGAGCCAACTGAAAAAGCAAAGGACGCTACGAAAGCAACGAAGAAGAGCAACGACCCTATTCGGTGGTTCGGCATCCTCGCGCCGATGCCTTTGCGTCAGGCGCAAACGTTGTCGGTCAAGGCGGTGCAGGACGTGATTCCTCGTCTGGTCTCTGTCCAGGCTGAGATGAAGCATGTGGAAATCGAGGTCAGGCGGGCACAAAAGAAGCGGGCCAAAGCTGAGGCTGCTCAGAAGAAGATTGACGAAGCGGCGGCAAGTCGCGAGTCGCACGCCCCCAGGGCAGCAATTGATTCTACGTAACCGGGCAACCCACGCAACCGCAACCTCTCAAACCATCAATGATGGTCGATTACAACCCAGGACATCCACGAGTATTGTCACTTCTTTCTTCTCGAGTTAAGCGTGGTCGGAGGGCAGCTTAAGGCTCACCATTTGAAGCTGCCTGCCTGTGACCGCAAGAAGTCACTTGCAGATACCCTAGATGAGAACGGCTACTGCCAATATCTCCATCAGATCTTATTCCCATCAACCCTCCGTCCTAATCAGGAATACACTTGCAGTGTGACTTGTTGGCTTGCGGCCATTTTCAATGTATGGCTGTTGGTGTCTCTGTGACGGAGACTAACATGAACTGGTCGAGGATCTACACAACCTAAGTGTGGCGTGGGGTAGGTTTTGTAATGGCGAGGCTCTCATCTGGACAACTCAGTGACAGTAGACGGTGTGCGCACCGGTGAGAGGACTGTACCAATGGTGGTGAATGATCCCGCGAAAGAGAGCGTCGACCTATATAGCATTGTATGTGTAGGCCCGTATCTAGACGATGCGCGCAAAACCTGAATCGGGCCTGGTGGGTAACGACGACATCATGTCAACGTTTAACAGGTATGCTTCTATCAATATACGTGAGTCTCGGCCAGTGTTTGTAGTTTCGTTTGGCGGTTGTGATCTTGCAGAGATGTTTAGAACGCCAATAATCCTCATTGATTAGCACAATTGCCCAACAGTACAGAATATGTACTGATCTGTTGCAGTAATGCCGCATGGTAATGGCGCCCCTTTTACGTCTTTCTCCCTCGGAGCGATGTTCTTGGGGCAGCCCCCATTTTCCCTGCGCTCAAGCATCGTCTTCAATTCAAGTACAAATCAAATTCTTCGGGGTACACAGGAAATATAGCCGCGAAGGCAGGAAAACCAGGTGATCTCGTTCTTGGCAACCGTCTAACGGAATCTATCTAGGGTTTCTAGGACGTCGTCCAAGGACTCCTTCAACGGGTGGCCGGTGCCCACATGTCTCTGTAACCGCGCAGCTATGCCGAGAATGGCGCTCGTAGAGTGTACGTACCGCTTCCTCATGCCCCCATGAGCACTCACGAGCAGAGCTGTTGCCAGTTGGAGGGCAGCAATCTGGGCCTCCTGGACGAGAAGAGGCTGTTCGGCCTCCGGAACGTCCCAGGCGGCGACAGCAGTGATATAGGCCATCCAGTCCACCCTCGCACCGCCATCCTCGCCCTCCACGATCGGCAGAAGAACACGCACAATCTCGATCCCACGGGCTGCCTCGATTTCATCGCCTAATGTCGACGTATGCTGCAGGATGGCTATCAAGTCGGCCGTGAGGGCCTGCCAGCCACCGTGGGTGGAAAACTCCTCGAGTCCTGCCTTCTCGACGAGAATTCCCTCCAGACCAACCAGGACGGGTGACCGGAAGTCTAGTCCAGAGGGAGAGCTGGACTTGAACAGGTCGACCAGCATGTCTGTGAGTCCCGCGGCTTCTTTCCGCAGAAGCTCGTTGTCGTCCTCGCGAAGCCAGATGGCCAAGGCCCTCACAGCTGCCAGGATGAGGGGATCTTCGTGGACGTTATCCTTCTTGGACTCCCAAGAAATCGTGAGCCTCTTCCCGGCGGATGTATCTGTCTCTTTGGTGCGTGCGTCGGGGTGCAAGCCGAACGTGCCCGCCACTGACGCGTCCCACCTGTCTCGAAGAAACTCGATGGCCAACGACATGGCTTCCGAGATAGTCCTTCGGAGCTTCAGCAGGTAGTCTGGGGGCATGATCATCGCATCTGGCGACTGATCGTCGTCAAGGCTTCTCACTAAGTAGCCGACAAAGTGTGTAGTGACGTCGAACGCCGAGCCAATACGCTGGGCGACGGATGGGTAGGTTGGGTCATTCAGAAGTTCTAGCAGTCGTGGCAAGGTCACTCTCGTGTCAGTCAGGAGCAGGGTGATGAGTAGGTAGGAGAAAGGCTTGTCGTCTTTGACGTCGCTGGTGAAGAGAAGCTTTGCCGCATCCTCGTGATAGACCTCGAGCAAAGAGGCTGCCGCGATGGTGTACGCGTTCCTAGCCTCGGGCGTAGGTCTGCTTGTGAGCAACGTCTTGATGAAGTTGATGATAGTCTCGATCCATGTTGGATTCGACGGGAGCGCCTGCAAGCGTGTAAGTCAGCCGCCTGTGTCTTTTGGGGGGGAGGACCTACCTTTGCGTCGGAATTTCGGAGAAAGTTGCCGAGGAATTCAAGCAGGGTGACTCCATCTGTTCCCTTGAAGGATGAGACTAGGGCCTGGATAGTGCTGTCGATTTTCTTGCTCAAGACGACTCTGTCCTCGGCAAGGTCCATGCAGTTGATGTACGCGAAAGCAAAGATTTCAAGAGCCACCGGGTCACTCGGTGCAATCTCAACCAGTGGGCTTACATCCTCAATTTCTGAAAATACCCGAGCGCCTTCTGGGAAGACGACAAGTGCAAGAATGGTCTGCACAATCAGCCGAGATGTCTCGCCAGAACTGCCCCCTTGAGAGTTAGCGTTGCAACTTTCCCCCCTGAAAAATGTCTCTGGTCGACGCACCTCCGTAGCAAGCCTGACACAAGAAGGGGCAGCCTCCCGACAAGCCTCTTGTCTCTCTTTGCCTGGTCAGGCAGTAATGATGTGAATGTGTGTATGACTGAGACGGCCAGGTCCAACATGTTTCTGGCGTCTGCTGCCTGAGCCGACTGAGCGGACGAGCCTGTCTTCACGAGCCTGTCGAGGAATTTGGGGGGGACGCACGCCCAGAGGACGGAGACCGTCTCTGCGTCATTCCTGAGTCCTTCGGAGTTGTCAAGCACGCTTCTGAGAAGTGCCAATCCTACGAATCTCGACGTGTCATCCTTGGCTTTCAGCATGGTCTGAATCTGATCGAGCGAGGCTGTTTGCTGTGTTTCTTGCGGAGCGTCAGACGCCTGCGAGGCAGTCGCCTGCGGATCCGTAGGTCCTGAAGACGCGTCTTGATCCATTCCGTTCGAATAAGGACGACCTGGTGTTCTCTACAAACAATAAGGCTGGGTATAGAGTAAGTTGAGTGAGTTGTAAGTCGGATTAGGGTAATTTCCAGTTGTCAACATCTGACAACGCCCGCGCCCTCTTTCATGAAAACCGTCAATCGTTTTGGTAGGGCTCCCCGTTAAACAGAGAATGTCGGTCAACAGACTACCGATCTGCAAATAGAAGCTGCCCGAAGCCAAGACCAGAAGAACAACACTCTCGTGGAAAAAATGCCCCGCGCAGATTTGACCCAGCAGATCGAAGAGCATTCTCCACGGTACATCAACATCCCTGCAAGCGATCACCGGAGGAAAGACTGCAAAATGGTCCGAGCTTCCATATCGAGTCAGCCACGCGCGGCTTGTCACCAAGCAGGTATCTGGCAGAGAGGCGCAAGGTGCAACCTTCAACAAAGGCGAAACGACAACAAGATGGCCATTCCGAGGAACTGAAGAGAAGTCGGGTGTTCCTCAGAGTCGCAACATGACCGGCCACGCAAACAATGATTCTTCGGCCTCGTCCTCGTCGCGACCGTTGAACAATGGCAGCAGCAGCAGCAATAGTAACAGCAACAGCAACAGCAACAGCCCCCCCGGCGACCGAGACGAGCTGGAACTCTGGAGCGAAGACGAGGACATCGCCGACGTCCTCACCGAAGACCCCATCCGCGACCGCGAAGACCTAGAAGAGCCGCTTTCCTTCAAGCGCAAGCAGAAGCAGAACGTGCTGTCCACGCCTGGGCGCTTTCTCTCCGCCATCACCGGTTCGCGACCAGGCACCGATTCCCCCCACTCATCCCCGCGAGCTCGAACGCCGATCCAAGATGCTGGCCGACCGGGCTTCACCTCCCCGCGCAGGACAGGCGGCAATGCGACAACGACCCGTGGGACGAAAGACGGCGCGTCGTTGGACTGGTACGTTGAGGGGCCGGGCCGACGAGTTGGATACGAGGACTTGACGGCGATCGATTGGATTTTCGAATACACAAAGGAGCGCCAGCGCTTGCGCGTCCTGTACGCGAGCGCGCAAGGCCTTCTGGGCTACTTCCAGCAGCTCGTCGACTCCAGTCAGGTCTGGATTATTCTCATCCTGACTGGTATGGCAGTTGGTGCTGTCGCAGCTGGAATAGACATCACCACGGACTGGCTTGGCGATCTGAAGACCGGGTACTGCTCGGGCGGCCCCGAAGGAGGCGCATTCTACCTGAACAAGGGGTTTTGCTGCTGGGGGTACGATGAATTCTCCAAGTGCGCCGGATGGACGCCTTGGGCGAAGGCTCTGGGAGTGTCTTCCACGGGCGGGAAGTGGTTCATAGAGTACTTCTTTTTCATGTTTTTGTCGGTAGGTGATGTTTCGGCAGATGCGTCAAGAGCCGCTGCTAACTCTTTTCCTAGGTCGTCCTGGCTTGCGCAGCGGCTATACTGGTCAGAGAGTACGGTATTTATGCCAAGCATAGCGGTATCCCTGAAATCAAGACGGTCTTGGGCGGTTTCATTATTAGAAGGTTCCTTGGCAGCTGGACCCTGATCACCAAGTCGCTGGGACTGGTATGTCAATCTAGTGCCCACTGCACGAAATCGCGCTCACGAAAATCTACAGTGTCTCGCTGTTGGGTCTGGCATGTGGTTGGGTAAAGAAGGCCCCCTTGTCCATGTTGCTTGCTGCTGCGCAAACCTATTTATAAAGCTGTTTAGCAACATCAACGAAAACGAAGGTCGGCCGTCCCTTACATCGTTATTCTGGCATATTTCTGACAGTACTCCAGCTCGGAAGAGAGAGGTGTTGTCTGCAGCGGCGGCGTCTGGCATCTCAGTGGCTTTCGGTTCGCCGATTGGAGGCGTCTTGTTCAGCCTTGAAGTTGGTGACGCCCGCATGCCACCCTGTTCTATACTTACTGTGTTTAGCAAATCTCATACTATTTCCCCGACAAGACGATGTGGCAAAGCTTCGTTTGTGCCATGACTGCCGCTGTCGTTCTCCAGGCATTCGACCCATTCCGCACAGGTCAGCTCGTCATGTATCAGGTCAAGTACAGTACTGGCTGGCATGGCTTCGAGCTCATCCCCTTTGCCCTGCTCGGCATCATGGGTGTAAGTGTTTTTGGATCGACCACCCGGGAACAGGGCTAATCAACGTTGCAGGGCATTTACGGCGGCTTGTTCGTCAAGGCCAACATGGCTGTCGCTCGGTGGAAGAAGAACACCCCGTGGCTCCCAGGACCCATTACCCAAGTTGCTGCTGTTGCGCTTTTGACAGCGCTCATCAACTATCCAAACTCGTACATGAAATTCCAGACATCGGAACTGGTATCCAACCTGTTCGTGGAATGTACAAAGTACGTCGATGACCAGATTGGACTTTGCAAGACGGGAGTTGCATCAGCACCGACTATCGTACTTTTGGTCTTTGGAGCCGTGCTTGGATTCTTCCTAGCCACCATAACATTCGGGTTGCAGCTACCTGCTGGTATAATCTTGCCGTCAATGGCAATCGGTGCTCTCAGCGGTCGCGCAGTCGGTATAATCATGGAGATTTGGGTCGCTAACCACCCAACCTTCTTCCCGTTCGCATCATGCGAGCCAGACGTCCCTTGCGTAATACCCGGGACGTACGCCATCATTGGCGCAGCAGCAAGTCTGGCGGGCGTCACTAAAATGACTGTGTCGATTGTGGTCATCATGTTCGAGCTGACAGGAGCCTTGACTTACGTCCTGCCCATTATGATTGCGGTCATGATTTCCAAATGGGTGGGCGACGCGATTTCCCGACGAGGCATCTACGAAGCCTGGATACACTTCAATGAGTACCCATTCTTGGACAACAGCGAGGAAATGGTCATCCCCGACATACCCGCTTCACAGATCATGACGCGTATTGAGGACCTGGTTGTACTCACGGCAACGGGCCACACAATAGCCAGCCTCAAGAACATCCTCGACACACATCCCTACCGCGGCTTCCCAGTCATCTCGGATCCTCGCGATGCTATTCTATTGGGATACATTTCGCGGCAAGAGCTCACGTACAATCTGCGAATCTCTTCCTCGCCTCCACGATCTCTCCCTCCAGAGACGGAGGCGTACTTCTCCCATCAGCCGCTGGCCGATCCCCGCACGACGCTGGACTTGCGCCCGTGGATGGACCAGACGCCAATCACCATGCCGTCGAGGTCTAGTCTTCACCTGGCCGTCACTTACTTCCAGAAGCTCGGCCTTCGCTACGTACTCTTCAGCGATCGCGGGGCCCTGCAGGGTCTCCTAACTAAAAAGGACGTTTGGTACGTCCTTAACGGCGCCGAAGAAACGCGCCGGACGAGCGGTCTGAGCAGGGACATGGGGGTGCAGTCTGGCCTCACGCGTGAAGACGGTGGCGGCGAACAGAGGGGCTTGCTGAGGGACGACGGGCACGAGGAAGGTATAAGCCCGGCCGATGACCGAGATACAATTTTATGAAATAGAGTGCGATCTCAGGACAGTGTACGATTTACAAAGACATGAATACTGTTTGCCATGCTACATTTTGTTTGATGCGGCTGTCGTATTTCGTGAGTTGGCAATATGGCCTGTGTGGCGTCGACATAGGGTTGTTGGAGAACGAAGGAAGTATAAAGGCAGATATTGAACTGGTTGAGCGTATTTCAATCAACCTCGTTGCCTTCTTCACAAGTCTTTACAGTTTTGTCATGTCCACATCCAGGAACGCAGACCGTTGGACGGCTACATTGCTGCAGTTGAGTGCTGTTCCTGTACAAGATGAGTGGCTTTACGAATTGCGTTTCGCGTGTACAATTTTTCATCATAGTGTCATTTCCATCTACCATTGAAAAACTCTTGTCAAGCTGCGCACACCTCGTGCCTTCTCATAATTGCTAGTTGACAAGTTTCCTGCAGGTCATGTCTAACGAATCTGTTCTAGAAGCAGGAGGGTAGAATACAAACATCAACCTCAAACCTCGTTTGCGAGAGTCAAGGCCAAACCCGCATGAATTTGGTGATTGTTTAGGTCTTTGGCGCTAGAATCGCCTGCTTGGAGATTACTCTAGTAACGACTTTCACTTGATGATCCAGAGATGCGCATGTATACTTATAGCTAATGATCTGATATAACGTTGGTTCCATTGTAGTTACGTGACATTCGATATCCCGGCACGTTGGATGTCTCAAAATGGGCTCGAACATACGACTTCATCACATAGGTAGCAAGGAGCACGAAACGATGAACCGTAGAGGCGCACACCATTCTATGACGTACGCTTGCTTGTCCAAATACACAGCTCGTAGATGCTCAATAATACTTTACATCCTCCGCGACGCCAAGAACCGTAACGCCTAAACAGATGTGTAGGGTATCTCCAAAATCAGTCTGACCGCCCTTGATGCAACAGGTCAAAAAACAAATGTCCTCGCACGAGCACACACGCATTGTCGGATCTTCAGCTTCTCGCGTCGATCTCCATCTCAACAGGTAACGTCCCAATATCCCCTCCTCGACACCAGTCCACGGCCGCAGGCAGCCCGCATCCCAGAGCCATGATACGCCACGAAGGCGGCCGCCAGTCGGGGAACATCTCCCAGACGGCCTTCATGCCGGCCTCCATCTGCAGACTCATGATCTGCACCAGCTCCGACTGCCGATTCGCCTCGACGAGTTCGACCTGGTCGTAGTACACCGGGTTCTCGTCCCTCGGTATGAAAACGAGACTCTCCAACCGTGGCATGCGCGTGCGCACCTGCTTCAGCACCTCCACCGTCAGGTTCGCGGCCGACATGCTCTGGTAGTACACGGAGTCGATCCAGAACAGTGAGTCGTTGACGGCGAGGTGGCGCACCTCGGCGAGGTCCGTGGGGTCACACAGCGCCATGACGGTCATGAACTGCGATTCCGACGCCATGTAGCCGTCGCGAGCGCCAAAGTACAGGACATCGCGGTACCGGTCGAAGAAGATTTGGCCAGGATTGCGAGTCATGCCAAAACTGAGCCGGTAGGACTTCATGGCCTCGACGCGAGACTCATGGCAGACGTGGAGGTTGACGGGAATGGATGCGTAGGAGATGCAGCCGCTAGTCGATGGTCGCCGCTGAGCGGCTGGGTAGACGTCTGCAGCGAAGGACAGAGATTTTGCGCCGCACCGTATGGGGACGATGCGCGGCGGAGGTAGGTTGAAGTTCCATATCTTGAGGCGAAGTTCTGCGGGCAGGTATGGGAAAAGGTGCTATTGCGATGGGAAGACTCGATGTTAACGAGATAGGCTTTCTCGGGAGATCGACGAAGCTACGGCAGTTTAAACGTACAAAGTGGTCTACTGGTCGCCGCGACGGTGTCTTTGGCTCGCGGGAGCCGTCCGTTTGTGTCCTCGCAACGGGCGTCGTCGTCGACGTCGGGATGGGTAGCATGGCGTGTTGGAACGCGGGCGCAAGATTCTATCTATCGATGATTGCGAACTCGTCGTCGGTAATGTGGGAGGAAAGGACCGCAAGTGCGGTGGGTGGGTGGATGGGTAATTTGGCCAATGCGGGACACGATGACGGAGGGGTGGCAAGCGTGAGAGGTTATTATATCGGTCGCAGCGGCGCGGCGGGCTGGCAGCGCCATCCTGGGCAAACGAACACAAAGGATATGCCTGCCAACCTGCATCCCGCAAGGTCCAATTCGAGCCGAGACATCATTAGACTTTTTTGACAAATACCCAGCCCCGGCCGAGCTGTAAAGGTAGACCAGGCTCGCTGGCCTAGGCGGGGGGGAAAGGGCAAGAGTCTGCATACCCAAGTTCTGTCGGTCGTGAATCATGGTAATGGAAGACCACACCCCCCTTCACCCCCACCCCAGTCATGGACGCATGGTCAGGGAAGAAAGTGTGGCGGCCCAGAACCCGAGGCTTTGGGTCGGGTCGACAGGGGTTCTCAGCATCTGAAGGATTCAAATGGCCAATATTTCCCACATAACGCAGCCGGGGGAGGCTCCAAATGACAGGATGCCCGACGGGAGCGAGGTGCTTGGGAGCGGAACCGATCGAAGGGATAGCCATATGCACAACAGAATCACAGATGTGTCAGAACTGAGCCATGGCTTAGGGTCCCATTGCTTGAACGCCTGCAGCCGCTCCCGTATTCCTGCCAATCGTCGTTTGACATTGATTTTGTTGTATAGTCTCAACGGAAACTCATCGACTGAGCATATCTCTGCACCTCTTCAGAGCGAGATGTCATCCGAGGCCGTCTGTAGGTCTGTTCAAGGCAGCCTCTTACAGACCACGCTGATCATGAAGTGCGGGTTGCAAAGAGCTAGGGGGATCCGTACCGGTCAGGTTCCACTGAACCAGGTGCGGACAGACGTTGGGGGGCAGACTGTAGCTGGGATTCGCTGTGGGATGACGACGACGCAATATCTGCGGTTCTCGTGGTTGTAGACAGAAAGGAAGTCTGTATATCCGGCCGGCCGTAAGAGGGCAGGACCGTAGATCGTCAAGATGCAAAGGCGGGGGTGATGGACGTGTGGTTGGTTCCAATCCGTTGGGCTGAGCCAGGGGTCAGGGTATGTTTCGCTGGCTGCTGCAGTCTGCTTATGCCTCCACTCTGTGAGTGAGCACAGCTTTGAGTGCTGATTGGTAGATCAAGTCGGCGTCAACGCCGTGCCCCTCGGCTGGCCTGCAAGCAATCTCAGCTGAATCAGGGTACGTAGATTCGCCGACCTGCTCGGCGAGGCTCCAGCATTATTAGATGGCATTCTGGCCAGGAACCTGCAGGGAGAAAAGTCCGATTTTCCGACCTGGCGTTTCTTTGCTTTGCACGAAACGCAACAAGCTGGGGCATGAGAGGAACTCTGAATAGTAATCACCATCGACCGGCTTGCGGTCTCGACTTTTGTTGGTTTTGGTGTCAGTGTCACAGAAGTCAACCCGGGTGTTTGGTTCTTTTACCCAGAGGGACGGGCTTGAGGTGCTGTGCCGCTGTGTTTCCCCCGTGGCGCCACTGTGAGACTTCCTCTAGGCCAAATTGACCTGTCACCTGCTGGCAACTCGATGGCCGAACTTTGAACCCCACAGTCTTTGGCTGCCGAACTCCGATACTGGCCATTCCTAGCTGAAAGTTGGCCTGGAGGAGGTTCAGAAGGCAGCTGTTTGCTTCACGGAGCATGGGCCGATCGGCATTCCTCAGCTGCGGACGTTGGAGGCCAAGCAGCTAACCTCCCGCCTCGCCCGTTGATCTTCATTCGCATCCGCCTTGTGCGTTGTCTGACATTGACGATAAGTTTGATAGTGCTCAAGATGACCTTGGTAGGCTGCCGTTCTCTCAGGCGGACCGGGGACTGGTTCCTCCTTCGGCTCGGGATCAGCGGCAGGGTGAGGATTGTTGACATGCGGAGTATGCGACCCCAGCCGACGAATGCTAGTTTCCCTTGTCAGCAGGAAAACAGGCCTACCAATATTCGTGGGCGATTTGGCAGCGATAGAAGTGAGGCTGGGAAGACTGGCGAAGTGTTGGTGTGACATGCAACAACAACAAAGTTGACAGACTGACAGGGAGGCAGTGGATGCGTCCCGTTGCCGGTGACACTTTCCCGTCGGCCGCCCGAACGCCATCCAAGTTGTGTTTGTTGCCTTCATTTCCAGTGACAGGGCCAAGGTTCTGCTAATGATGACAGCCCTGCCGCTGACGGTCACTGGTTGGATCTGTTTGGTCCACTGAGAGCCTCGTCGCCTTCTGCCAGCCTGCGGCTGCCATGCAAGAGCCTGAGTGCTTGCTTCATTGCCTGCCCCTTCGGAAGAGGGTCTGACCCCCTGTCGTCGACACCCCCCAGTGATGTGGAATCATTGAGGAAGCTTTGGGACGGCAAAAACGCCACCATCCCAATGGGTGCTGCATGTCGCAGTTCGCAGACGAGACACTCACTCGTGGGTATGGAGAGTCCAGCGCCGACTAGTCTAGTTCCCAGGAACAGAGCTTAGCGGACAACATCGCAACGGGCCATCATAAAGATTCCGACGTATTGAAGGTCCGGGAGGATGCAGAAACCGCAATCCGCATTTGTACGAATGCCTTGCAAATGTTGTGAGATGAGAAACATCGAAATGCAGGGCCAGCAGGGGGGGAAAACCAGCTGTGTAACTCAAAGGTCCGGAGTCATGATGTATTTCATGCATATACGAAGATGAAAATTGCTTGTTTCGCCACGGCAAAGACGACATCGAGAATGTTTGGTAAAACACCGTGCAGTCCCTGCCAACTGGTGTCAGAAGGAGGGCCCGCAAAAGATCAGTCGGGAGCTGGGATGCTTAGATAAGCGTGTTGTTTCCTAGTCACGTGCATGCTCGGTGACGAAGATGACTCAGCCAGACGTCGGATTGAACTTTTGTTTCGTTCCACTGAGTTCAAAGTCTGTCTCCGCCCTTCCCGCTTGACGTGAGCTTATTCTCTGGATCACCTTGACGGCGGCAACTGAGCAGGCCCTCAGAGCAATACCCCTGTGCCGAAGTAACCTCGATTGTGACACTATTCAAGTCGGCGAATAGGCTTCATGCCTGGATTTATTTCAGGGTGTTCGCATGCTGCCATTGGCCTCATCACAGGCCTTCCCGCTTCTAAGCGCCTGGGATGACCAAAATAGGGACCAGCATCTGCGGGCGTCTGACCAATCCCACGCCGGACAGCTCTTACAGGGTTCCCAACTATCTCCAACTTCACACCTCAACACGTCGCAAGCGCGGCTATCTTGCATCGGCGCGACGCTCGTCATGATAATTTTGGATCGCATCTCCCTTCCCCGGAGGTTGACAAGATTGCGTGCCGCGTCCACACACGGCTCAAGGCGCCTATACGATACTTGTCTGTTGTATTTGTACGCATCCAAGTCCCCCTTCCCAGGTTTCGAGATGGCAAACCCAAAGCATTGCCTCCTTTCCCTTTCTCGTTTCCTACGTTTCGTTTCTATTGTAACGGTCGATCTCTAGGTTTAGTCATCTTTTCTTCCTATCGTAATTTTTTTTTCTCACGTCTCCTTCTCTTCCGCCATGTCTTCCGAAGAAAAGAACATCACCCAAACTTCAGGCTTCGAGGTTGATCCCGAAGACACTCAATACGCATCGCAAGCCCGTTTCCTTGGGACCACCGACGCGGCAAGAGTCAGCTTGACGGCTGTGGCTCTGCTTGCAGGCATCACCATCCTCGGCGTATCAGCAGATGCTCTCGCAGTCTATGATGCGACCCACGTACCCACCAGCTACCTGCTCCCGCTCTGGCCGGATGCCTTTGACCTGAGGCCCACGGTGGCTCTTGTGGTTGGCAGCTCCATTGTCATTGTTGCCAACATTGTTTCGCTGCTTTTCAGCCGGGTCCAGTCTGTAAGTTGATACATCATGGCAAGGCATTGCGGCAGGTCGACTCGGACTAATGCCAAACGTGAATAGCTGCGTGGGCGAGCCCTCATCCACAACTCACTAAGCGTCGCCGCTCCAGCAGTCGGACTTGTGGCTGCAGTGGTCGCCATGTCGGTCTTCTACAGCATCAACGCCTCGACCACTGTGGACACGCTCCAGAGCTGGAGCTGCCGATGGTCTGACGTGGTGATGGTGACGCGGCCTCACTTTGGCACTCTTTGCAAGCAGAGCAAGGCCGGACTGTACATGTCCATCCTCCTGATCCCAATCGAAGCCATTACTCTGGGAGCTGGGGCGTATCAGATGGTACTCGAGAGGAACATCAGCAGGGCCAGCGGTGTAGTTCAAGGACGCCGCAAGTCCGGCAGCCCCGTTCCTTCGTCAGTCACCGCCAGAGATATTGAGGGAGAGGCTCACTAGGATGTCCGGAGCGGAGCCGTCGAGACGACGGGGTTGCCTTTGCCACAGGGTCGGGTACGCTGTCAGGGTGCCAGTGACGGTAGACGCGCCGGAAACGGACGATGTGCGGTCATGGAGTGGGCGTTCAGGTCAACGCAAGACCAGGGAGATGCAGAAGTCAGCTGCGTCACATTTGTACCAAGAAGTGTCTCTTTCACGGGTTAATATTTCGCTGTTGTCAACAGGACCAGTGAGACTGTCCAATGGATTACGTTTTCGATCCAGAATCCCCATCGATCCAGGAATCCGATCTTTCCCCACCCTCCTGATTATCCGACAGACTCGTAATCTGATTCACGAACTCACAGTCCATGGCCGCATGCGGCAGCATTGGAAGGGAGAAGACTGAGCTCGCAATCACTGAGGGTATCAAAAGTGGCGAAAGGAGCCTCCACCGACGCAAGTGCAGCTGAGAGCTTGGGAAGCATCAGTTGAGATACTGGCCGTTTGCGGGTGGAGGATGCGGTGTGGGGGTCTAGCAGGAGATGCCGTCGTCCCGGCCATCAGGTACGCTGGCAAGGCCGGTCTAGCTTCTCGTACCTAGGGTCTGACATGGCGGTT